AGATAACTGTTCATTTGACACAAATATAAGCAACTGCGCTGATGCTTATTAGTTGTCAAAAGTATTTACACACATTTTTTTCGCGTCAAAAGTATTTACACAAAACATTAATTAGCATTTATTATAGGATTTTCTTTAAGTAAGTGCAGTTGTTGGCTTTTGTCAAAAGTTACACAAATTTAGAGATTTCAAAATTTCAGAAATTATTTAGGAAAATGATAAAAACCAAGGACTTATCAGTTGAAATTTAATCTGAGGTTGGTACCTAATATAAGAGTGGGACTTTGACGACGAACTTAGTAAAGTTGTGCAAAATATTACATAAAACGGTGTAAAATCTAGTTAAAAATAGGAATATAAGTGAAAATTTAAAAAATTTGGAAAGGACTAGTTGGAAACCTTCCATGAATCAAAGAGAATGCAGAAGATTATTACGAGTAGTCGTAGAAAATCCTACAATAAGCCCGGTCAAAGTAGCATCATCGTCGGAAAAGTTGATTGACAAGATTATTAGTGATGCTACACTACATCACAGGTTGAAAAATATTAATATCAATATCTATGTGGTGCACAAAAGAGTCAATATTACTCTAACGACCCTATCAAATATTCTCTCATTTGCTTTGAAGTATTTTAAGTAACCTATACAGTTTTGTTACAATGTGTTATGGACAGATGAGTCTGAATTTCAATTCTAGGGTTCGTTTGGTAAGCATTCCATGCACTTACGACAACGCCAAAAGAATAAAGCAGTGCAGCCACTCAATAGATTTTAAGGTGGCACGGTTTTGTTTTGAAGATGTCTATCATACAATGCATTTGGAGATTTGGTACCAAAAAATGGCACCTTAAATGATTCCGGTTATATTGGTATTTTAAATAACCATGTCTTAACGTCAAAAAATAGACCTTTTCCAATCAATAACTGGGTTCTACAACATGACAATGTACCATGACATCAAGAATGTAGACTAAATCCATTTTTAAAAGAGTTAAATCATGCTGTTTTTTTATAGCCTGCACAGAGCTCTGGTCTTAATGTCATTGAATATGGTTGAGACTTCATAAAACAGCAAAATACTATTGATAAAAATCCAAAATGTAGTGATAGCATAATTGAAATAGCGAACATTCGGTCCAAATTGATTCGCAACTTGATTGGTTCAATTCCAGCTAGGTTGCGGGCAGTTATTGATGCCAAAGGTGGTGTAACCAAATATTAATTATATTAATTAAATAAATGTAAAAATATTTTTAAAAAATTCATCAATTAAGAAGAAGAAAATGAAATTAACATTTTGTGTAAATACTTTTGACGCGAAAAAAATGTGTGTAAATACAATTGACTACTAATAAGCATCAGTGCAGTTGCTTATATTTGTGTCAAATGAACAGTTATCGTTCCAATTTTTTTTTATTTGGTTCTGCATAAATAAAACTAAGTAACAACAAAAAAATTTTTTGCAACTTAAGTCCAACAACAACAATAAAAATATATTTTTATGCAATATGTAAGTTAACACGCTCTACATTTATTTTATTTTTTCCTTTTATTACCTTTATTGGGTAGACATTAGGTAAGCACTTTATTTCTAAAATGTGCCGGAAACCCAAATAAGCGGTAAAAATTAATTAAGCAATTCTTTCCAAAGAACTGGCGAAAATGCAATGCTTGCATTAATTGTAAAATCAATATAATTGTAAAATAAATTTAGTCTTAATCTTGAATCAAAATAAAGCGGAGCATTAGCTCCAATCTTTTTTAAAAACTAAATAAAGTATTTAAAATAGAAACTGGCGCCCGAGCAAGGACCAGTCGCGAAAAGGAAATAATCAAATAAAGTAAATAATTAAATTAAAGTGAAAATACAAAGGCCTTAAAGTAGTGGCAGTGTTTCGCGTTATCATAAACAGTGACTGTGAAAGGAAGAAACTAAAATTGATTTCCCAACAGCATCAATCCTATTTTTCCGACTGGTTCTACAAGATTCAAGAAGACTCAGGCTCTCTAGTCTCCGTCCGGAGACCGCCTCGCATCGAAGTGTTGTAGCAGGAGCCGCAGTAGGTTCAATCGACCAAAAAGGAGTTCATCCGTGCAGCCAGCGAGGGACGAGTAGCTCGATGCTACTCTTACTGTAGGTTAGGTTAGGTTAGGTTACTGGGGCCGTCCGAAGACACACTTAGACCATGAGGTCCATTGTGATACCCTAAGAATTTGACACCTGTCCCTATAACCACTTGGTATTGGCTACAAAGCCATTGACACGAGCTATGGAAATAGAATCTAGCTCTCTTAATGAATAGAAAAAGTGCGACCCTAAGTAGGATAGTCTATGTCTTGCGAAGGCAGGACACTGTAGCAGAAGGTGTGTTGGTGATTCCTCTTCATCATCCTCCATGCAATGTCTACAATGTAAGGAGGTCCTGATGTTGAGTCTCACGGCATGTCCTCCCAACGGGCAGTGTCCCGTAATAATTCCCACTATCCTGGATAAATTTGCTCGGGATAGATTGATTAATTCCCCCGATCTTTTCTTACTTATTTTTGGCCAAAATTCCTTGGTTTTTATGCAGTTGGTTACTGTTGACCATCTTCTTTCAAACATTTGGTATGTCCATAATTTTATTCGGTGCCGACAAGAAGCAACTGGTATACCCACACTTTCTTTTTCCAGAAGAATTTGTGCTGTCGTACCATGTCTTGCTAATTCATCTGCTATACAGTTGCCTTGGATGTCCCTATGTCCAGGGACCCAAATAATTCGTATCCGAAAATATTCAGCCATCACCATAAGTGATGTAAGACAATTCAGTACTAATCTCGAGTTGAAGGTCGACGAGTTTAAGGATTTTATAGCTGCCTGGCTGTCAGTAAATATGTTTATAAATTTAACGGAGGAGACATTGTGTTTCAGCCAATCTGAAACTTCCAATATAGCAGATACTTCAGCTTGAAAAACGCTGCAGTGATCCGGTAGCCTGAAACTCATACTGAGATCTAGTTCAGGGCAGTATACTCCTCCTCCTACTTGTCCATCTAACTTTGAGCCGTCTGTAAAGAAGTTAAGGCGATTATCACTCTTTACAGAGTAGTTTTCCCATGTCTCCCTAGAAGGAATAAATAATTCAAGATTTCTGTCCACAATTGTAATTGTAGTACAGTAGTCTGTTATATCCGGAATGAAATCAATTTCTCTGAGGATGGAATCTTGCATCCATCCACAACTGCTTCCAATTCCTAGTTCTCTTATACGTAAAGCTGCCCCAGCTACCTCGCCTTTCGCCGCAATGTCGATAGGTAAGATATTGAAGATAACATTCAGGGCAAGTGACGGCGTTGATTTTAACGCTCCGCTTAATGTCATCAGTGCAGTCCTTTGAACCTTTTCCAATTTCTTGCATAGTGTTGACCTATTCAGAGTATTTCTCCAAAATAACACTCCATACAAGAGAATTGGTTTTACTACCACATTATATATCCATAAAATGGACTTCGGTGAGAGTCCCCATCTTTTGCCTATAGCGCCTCTACAACAGTAAAAGGCAACCATAGCTTTTTGGGTACGTGCAACAACATTTGGTCCCCAATTCAGTTTTCTGTCAATTATAAGACCTAAATATTTGGCTTTATCATTCAGAGTTAGAGTTTGACCTCCTAGGATAGGTAGTGTGAATTCCGGAATTTTATATTTCCTAGAAAAGAGCACTAGTTCTGTTTTGGTTGGATTTATTGATAATCCGCTACAATGGGCCCATTGGGATACTTTATTTAGATTACCCTGCATTACCTCACTAATTGTACTCAGAAATTTTCCCCTTGCAATCAAGGAAAGATCATCCGCGTACGCGACCACCTGACAACCTGCGCTATCTAGATCAACAAGAAGATCATTAACTGCAGTTAGCCATAAGAGGGGGGAAAGTACTCCTCCTTGTGGAGTCCCCCTATTAACTTTCTTAGTTACTAGCGTTTCCCCCCACTGCACTACGATTGTCCTATCAACCAGCAGTTGGGTAATGACTTCGATTACTCTATTGTCAATTCCTAGTTTTCTTAATGAGTTGACGATTACTTGAGGAAGGATGTTGTTGAAAGCCCCTTCCACATCAAGAAAAGCGCAAAGGGCGTATTCTTTATGCTGTATTGAGTTTTCAATCATCCCAGTTAGAGATGATAATGCGGTCTCTACAGACCTTCCTTTACAGTACGCATGTTGTGATTTTGAAAGCCTTTCATCTGGTATCTCTTTCCTAATGAAATGCTCCAGAAGCCTTTCTAAAGTTTTTAAGAGGAAAGAGGATAGACTAATCGGTCTAAAATCTTTAGGCGTAATATGGGAGCTTTTGCCAGCTTTAGGAATAAAAACGACCTTTGTCAATTTCCATTTCTCTGGTATATGCCCCAAGGTAAGACAACCTTTAAAGATTGGTGTGAGCCAATTGCAAGAGATGTCCCTTGCTTCATGAAGTTGGGCTGGTATAATTCCATCCAGGCCCGGTGATTTGTATGGTAGAAAGCTATCTATAGCCCACTTAATTTTCCTTCTGGTGACAATATTATTCACCACAGATGAGTCACATGTAGACCCCTGGTTTATTCCAAGGTTATTTGGTATGTCACTATCTGGGAAATGTATATTCAGTAACAATGCCGCCGATTCTTCGCTGCTATGTGTCCACCCATTGACCTCGTCTTTTAAGTAGACTAGATTAGAGGGTTTCTTCGAGAGAATGCGCCTAAACCTTGCTGTTCCTTGACAACCCTCCACGCTTTCACAGAAGGCTTTCCAGGAGCGTGTTTTGGCTCTTTTTATTTCATTTTTATATATTTTTAGACTGACTTTGTAGATGTCCCAGTCAGTGTTAAGATTACTTCTCTTGGCCTTGTTAAACAAGTTTCTGCTTGATTTCCTAAGATCTCTTATTTCCTCGGACCACCACAATGGCTTTTTCTTTCCCCTCTGTGATTTTAGTGGGCAAGAACGGCCCAAGGCTATGTTGCAAGCTTTTGTGAAGGTTTCCACAACGTTATCTAGCGATTGAGGAGTCTCTACTTCTTCAATAGGATATAGAGGAAGTAGATTTAGTAAATTGGTTCGATATCTACTCCAGTTGGTATTACGGTAATTCCGATAAGGTTTCTCAACTGGACATTGTAGATTTATATAGAATTGAATATAACGATGGTCAGAGAATGAGTGTTCATCAAGAACTCTCCAATCTTTAATCTCAAGATCTGTGTTTTCAATAGTTAACGTAATATCTAAAACTTCTTTTCTGCCTGCAATAATAAAAGTAGGTTCCACTCCTGTATTGCATATATGAAGATTATAATCTAGAATAAAATCGAATAACGACTCACCTCTTTCATTTATGTCCGAGCTACCCCAGATTGTGTGATGAGCATTTGCATCGGCTCCAATCACAACACCAGTCATTCTTTCTGCTGCTGTTATCACGAGCTGCTTAAGTATTTCCGGTGGTGGATTTCCTATATGGTCATGGGCCATGTATGATGACACCACCCATACGGTTTTGCCGTCGATTTCCAAACTCACTGCAGTCTGGTCGTCATCACTAAAATTATTCAAAAGGAAACAATTAATGTACTTTTTCACTAACACACATGATCTAGGTCTACCTGAGTCTGTGTTGCTGATAAGTTTATAGTCATTTGTTCCGATTCCACAGATCCGGTTTTCCAGTATCCATGGTTCCTGAATCAGAACAATATCGGCTCCACCCTGTGCAAGGTGGATTAGAAGGTTTGCTGAAGCAGCTTTAGAGTGGTGGAGATTAATTTGAAGCACCTTCATCAGGTACCTGAACCTCTACCACCGTTTTATCGGCTTCGTCATCCGAATCCAGGAGCCCACTCTCATCGAATAGGTTGCCCAGACTGGTCACCGACCCCGCATCCGATTTGTCTTCAGACACCAGAGAGAGCGAGTCTACCTCCATTTGATCTGGCAGGTCTTCACTCTGTGTTTCCTCACAACTCTGCTGTCTTAGCATTGGTTCTTTAGCTGGTTCCTCCAGCAAGGGCTGAGCAGACGTAATCTTCTCCGGTTCTTCCGTGGCATCGGTACGATAGACCTTGAGATTTAGTTTCTCAAAGCCATAGGAGATTACGTACTTAGCTTCGGTGAGCGGTTTCAATGACTCCGCATTTAATACAAGGACAGCTTGTCTGGTCGGTCCAACAGGCTCCTCTAATTTTACCACCTTCCAATTTCCAGTTGGAAGGTTGGGGTTACAGATCCTGATTATTTTCAGAATTTGCTCCGGGTCAGTTTGCTTAGTTGGAATCCAAACCCTGGCCCTAGGACGAGATGGTATATCCTTCTTGTCTACCGCTTCAAGTCTGGCTCCAGGCCAGATCTCTCCTACTTTAGAGACAGCTGCCTTGTACAAGGCAACCGATCTCGCATCCTTGCAAGCTACCAATTTCACTTGTCCTTGGTGCCAACCCGCGTCTTCGCAGGAGGGAGCAGGTCCTGGGTTTTCTTCCAAAACTTGGAGGAAGATGTCTGCCAGCGCGGCCGACACCCATTTCCATTTGTCTTTGGGGATTCTCCCCTCCTCGGCACTCCTATCCAGGACACCTATAATGAGATTGTCCTTCGCAACCTCACTGTACGGTCGTACCAGTACATTGTAACCTCTTGGTTTTTTCGTAAGAGGGGGTTCTTCCTCCTGAGACCTTTGTCTTTTAGACACTTGGTCCGGTTTGGAAGCCTCTTTATTGCTTGATTTGGCCAAGATGCTTTTGGCCCATTCAAGGGATGAGGCCTGTTGCTGACTGATTTTATCGGCCGGGATCTCACCTACGCGCTGCAGAATTCGTGTAGCCATACGGCGGTCGTTATGGGCCTTTTTAGAGGGTGGAATTCTCCTTGTGGATTTGGTTTCTGACTTGTCACTGCTTTTGGCCGTGACAGAAGAGGCAACATACCGACTGGTAGATGCAGTATTTCTGCTTCCAGAAGGTATTTGCGACGAGATTTTAAGTTCATTGGAAGTGGAGTTGGAGGTACCACTCGAGGTTTGCAGTCTTCTGCTTGGGGTTGCTACTGGTCTTCCAGTAGCAGAAAGTTTTGTTTGTTTTTTTATTAAGATTTAAATTTTCCATATTGATGGGTCCCAACTCAGGTCCGCTATCTCCACCTGACGTGTAGTTATCTTTTAAAAAGCCCCATGGGTCCCTTTGAATCAGTGAGGTCCATGTGAAGGTTGATGTATAGCCTTATGAGCATATACATTCAGAGCCAGGCAGATATTAAGAGGGAGCTTCGCTCAACCTCACCTACACCACCAACTAAACGGCGACGGATATTGAGCGCTTCCTGAGGTCAGCCACGATTTTAACGGGACGGAGGCAGCCTCAGCATTAGCCTGAAAGCCATTTCTGCAGAGTTTCACCTCTACATACTGAGGTAACAGAATACGGAGACTGTCAGCCCAGGGTTCAGACAATTTATAATTCAGACAATTCAAAATCATACAATCAGTGTCAGTATAGCCAAGGTTGTTGCCGTTGAAGCCATATTGGCCGTAAAGGCCGTTGGACAGAATTTTTGCTCCGCAGTAGCCAATCCGACAAGGGAAGCCCTTAAGGACCTGAAGAATCCGTCGGTATAGCCTAGTGCATCATTACCTCTGTTGTCCCCAGAGACCTCACGCCGATGAATCAGAGCAAACTCCAATTCTTAGCTAGAACAGTCTGTAATCAGAACTCTCTATTACCAGTCGACACCCACGGGGAGGGTTAGGCAGAGGATTTATGTCAACCATACTCTTACTGTAAGTCATCGTAATTAATTAAGTATAATAAACAAATCTAAAATTTTTAAAGAAAAGTGAGTGAAGATAATAGAAATAATTTTGAAAGAAAAAATCTGAAATTTAGTAAAATTCAAATTGAGAAGCTATATTGAAAATAATTTTAAGAAAAAGAATAATAATAATATAAAAAAAAAAGAGGAAAAAGTGAAACTAAAATATCTTAATTAATTTTTCAAACACGGTAATTTGCATATGTACAAAAAACGTGTAAAATAAATAAGAAGGACGTATTAAAAATAATCTTAATAATTTTTCCTCATACTAAGAGAAACTAAAAATAGAATTTTAAAATAAAAACTAGATTCAAAATCGAAAATATTGAAGATAATTTGAAAAGGAAAATAATTTGATCAATTTGTTAAAAATAATTTAGTCAAAGATTTTTGACATTTCCGTTATTTGAATTCCCCGAATTATAAAGCTTAATTAATCACAGTTTATTAAAGTTAACAATCCAATTGTGAAAATGAGTAACCCGAATAATCTTTTAAGACCACCGGTTTTAGCTCAAAACCCTCCGAATCCAAATCCCCAACCTCCTCAAAATTAAGAAAATAGGGACATGGTTAGGCAAATAGCGGACGTAGTCAATAGAATCTTAAACGACAGACTAACAGCTAGGAACGTTATTGAGGTAGATGAACCGATTAATGTAGGAGCTCAAGGTATTGGTGAACTCGACAAAATTCCTGACGTTGTGCGCTCTTTGCGTGATTTTGCAGGAGATCCAGGTGAATTCGGATCCTGGAAGAAAAGTGTAGATAGAATTCTACAAGTGTATGAGCCAATACGAGGCTCCCATAAATACTTTGGTATTCTAAACATTATACGAAACAAAATTACTGGCCAAGCAGACATTGTGTTAGAATAACACACCTCTAAATTGGACCGCTATTTCACGTTGTTTCACAACGCATTACGGCGACAAGAGAGATCTAGGTACTTTAGAGTACCAAATGTCCTCGCTGACTCAAGGCAATTTAACAATACATGAATATTATCAGAAAGTCTATTCAAATCTCTCTTTGATCTTAAACAAAATTTCTTGTTTAGAAGCCGGATCAGAATCTCGAAGACTTCTGGTAGATGCGTATAGAAACAAAGCGTTGGATACCTTCGTTAGGGGTTTAAATGGTGACTTGCCGAGACTCCTGGGAATGAAAGAACCAGCAGACCTCCCAGAGGCTTTACAATTATGCCTCGAGCAAATATTGCCAATAACCATAACTATAGGAGACCTCCTATAAATCCTCGAAAAAATTTCTCCCCACAGCACCACGCCGCACCAAAACCGTTCTACCCACACCTTATTCATTGGAATCAACCAATGCAGAGACAAATGTCGCTACCTTCCTATATTCCACCTCAACAACAAGGATATTGGCAATGACCCCAGAATTTTTTTTCACAACAACAAAATTTCAATTCTCAGCATCGGCACCAACCACCACCTAGACCTTTTGCATCAAAGTCCATGCCAAGACCCGAACCAATGGATGTCGACCAAAGCATGCAGTCAAGAAGAGTCAATTATATGAATAGGCCATCACAAAACTTTGCATTTCAAGGAAAGAGGCCACCACCTCCTCAGCAAAATATAGAAAAAAGACAACGAAACTTTAACATAGAAGCTGAGCAATACAAAAACGCTGCATATCAGCAAGATCTAGAATACGAAAACCAGCAAGACGAGATTGGACAGGACAATTACGACGTACAAGAAACCCTCGAACAGCATAGTGCAGACGACAATTCTATAGAGGATTTTTCAGACATTCATTTTTTAGGCTAGCGAATTCCTCGCTCCCATATTTTGAATGTAAAACAAAGCGAGGAGAAATTTTAAAAATATTAATTGATACGGGTTCAAACAATAACTATATGCAACCCTCCATTGTACCCAATTCTCTCCCAAATGACCAACCTTTCTTTGTCAATACTATAGCTGGAAAAATAAAAATTACGCACCACACCAATGTTAATTTATTCGGAATACCCAATCTCAAAATTAAATTTTTTTTGTTACCATCGCTAAAATCATTCCACGGCATCCTAGGCAATGACAGCCTCAAGCAACTTTCGGCAGTATTTTCCCCAAAATACAACTATATGATAATACAAGATAGAGTCAGGATTAAAATAAAACAGCAAATTATACAGTCAATTAACACAATAGACTTACGGACTGATTACCTAAACGACGGACAAAAGACCACACTTAATACAATTGCGAGGAAATTTCTTAAACTTTTTGCCGAACCTGAAGAAAGACTAACCTATACTACGAAAGTGCAAGGAAGCATAAGGACGTCCACATACACACCAATATACATCAAATTCTATCCGTACCCAATGGCATTAAAAGCGGAAGTAGAGAGACAAATCAAAGACTTGTTACAGAATGGTATAATAAGACCGTCTTGGTCTCTATACAATTCACCTGTATGGATAGTACCCAAAAAATCAGACGCATCCGGAGAAAGGAAATATCGAATGGTAGTCGATTACAGAAAGTTAAACCTGGTAACAATATCGGACAGATGCCCTATACCCGAAATAAATGGAGTACTAGCACACCTAGGAAGAAACAAATATTTCTCCGTCCTCGATTTAAAGAGTGGCTTCCACCAGATTCCCCTAAAGGAATCGAATATAGAGAAGACAGCTTTTTCGGTAAATAACGGTAAATATGAATTTACCCGGCTACCTTTTGGTCTCAAGAACGCTCCTTCAATTTTTCAAAGAGCTCTTGACGACATTTTAAGGAACCACATAGGAAAGAGATGTTACGTTTACATCGATGACATCGTGATATTTAGTAAAGATCAAGAAA